TAGAAATGCTATATAGAGACATTCGAGCAGAAGTCATGGAACAGATCCGGGAATGGAAATCTCAGGACCAACACCCAAGACACTTTTTCTCATTCCATAAACCCAAAGATGGGAAGCACCGAAAGAGATTTTCCTTAGAACTGCCAGGAAAAAGCAAGCAATCCCCAAGGAGATATTCTTTAGACCTACAAAGCAAAGGTAGACAGTCTCTAAAACGGAAATCTCTAGACCAGAAAATCAAAGCCTGGCTATCTGCAAGGAGACAGTCTCTAAAAAAGCAAGCTAAATATACCCAAACCACAGAGCAATTCTCAGAGGAGTCAGCTGAACATCTTCAGACAGAAGGGAAGCCATTCCCGAAGGAACAATCCAAACATAGAGAAGATAAAGAACAGCAGGTGGCTATGGAGCAAATCCCTAAGAAACAAACTCAAGTCAAACAAGCTGAAGATCAGCAGGTTCAAGAGGAAGAATCCCCAAAGGAACAATCTCAAAATAGGCAAGCCAATACCCTGAAAGTTCAAATAAGGAAAACTTTAAAGCAGATGTACCAAGATTCGGACACCTCAAGCCAGGAACACAAAGATGGGCAATTCCTCCCAAAGCCATCTCTGCAATGTAGAAAACAGAATTGGCAAAACTTTAACCAGCAATCTGAAGACTGGAGAGGTCAAGGTAGGAGAAACAAAGATTGGATAGCACGAGACTGGCAATCAGAAAAGCAGCATGCCCTACACCAGAAGACCCTAGAGATTTTAGAGAAACAATCTCTAAAGCAGAAAGGTCTGTGCCAGGAAATCCCATCCCAGGGCACTCCAGCCCAATATAACCTAAGCAGGCAATTTCAAGGTAAAGACCAAAAAGAGACTCAGTCCAAAGTTGCACTAGAAGAAGATAAGCCAATAAAAGACATCAAAGAAGGGAAACCAACGAATCTGCAACTAGAAGAAATGAACCCAGATTTCCAACCTTCTTCTAGCCACAGTTTAGTACAAGACACAGATTTAAACTATTTGTCCAACATAGATTCAGAACAAGAGGTACAGCATTATGCTTCAGCTAGCTCAAACTCATACAAAGATTTGAATATAACTTCTAGCTCATGTTGGTCAAAAGATCAACTGCAATCTGAAGAGTCTGACTAACAGGCAGAATCTACCCAACTATCACACTGCCCCCAATAAGAGAAGCTAAATGAAGGAGAAGAACAGAGTCTTTCCTATGTTCTCAACTGTGGTTGCCATCTAATTCGCTCACCAGAAGATGAAGAGCACGCAGAAAACTCCAAAGAATTCATTCTTATTAGAATAAAATGACAACAAATGACATGTTAATACTATATCAGAATTTTCTGGGAGTGAAGGAATAAATAGCATGTCAACTTTTGTCGTCATATTTAGTGTTTCAATTTAAAATCGCCAATTCATTTTAGAACTTAACACTTAATAGACTACTTTCCTGCGGAGCCAACATTTTTTGGCCTCCTCCTTTGTGTCCTAGAGAGAGTCAGAAAGTCAACTAGAAAAAAGTTTTCAGGATCTAGAGGTGTTCAAGAATCAGAAGAGTCAGGAATAAAACTCACCCCCATCCTTCCTGTTTTGATGTTTCCGGTTCTCCCATTTATTCTCCTTCCCTGAACTTGTGTCAAGGATATAGTCCCTAGGTTGACTCAGTGTTCAACCAGATGGAAGGTGACAATTAAGACAGGATGTGTGGAGGGGGGTGAACAACACACACCTAGAGACAGGAAGGTAGGGGTAAGGGAAGGGCAGAGGTACAGCTGTGATAAAATACAATCACCTGTAATGTCCTGAGTGTTGCTCTAGGTCCCTTTCATACACCTGTATTCACTCCTAATTTCTCAGCCCAACATAATTTCATTTCTGTGAAGAGATTGTTATCAAAAGCCATCAACTATCCTCCATTTTTTTCTCTTTCCTCCTCTCAGATCTACCTGCCCTTTCCAATAAATATCTGGAAATATCCAGAGATTTGCCAGGTTGTATCATTATCATTCAGAGGAGAAGATCTAGATTTATTTGTAATTTAAATTAAAAGAAAAAAAACCTAGAGGATTTGGGGACTCCTAAGCAAGTGACAGTTGGTCCTCCAGAACTCTTCAGTATGGAGATGGATCTTTTTAAAGGGGAGATCTTTTGCAAAACAGAGAAAGATGAGAAACTTAAAAAAAATGAACTCCAGCTGCAGTAAGATAGGAGAGAAAGAATACAAAGAGCCTTTCTTGGAACTATGAGAAAGACTAATTTGGTTGACTGTGAATCAGAGACTGTGGTCTGATCATTTGGGACATCATAACTTCCCTAGAATAGCTAGTAGTAAGAAGCTTGAAATAAAACCTTGATTTGGGAAATTTTTAAAAGAAATACAAAGATATTTTACACTTTTCCATAAACCACCTTCAGAGTAGAGTAATACCCATATAAAGAGTGGGTTTTGGAAAGTTGGAAAATAAGAAGGAGTCTAAGGATTTAGGAATAAAGATAAATAGTAAACAAATTCATGTCATCCATTTGTAAACACATCTAAGGTTTCATTAGCAGAAGCCTATAGAGTTTTACAGTCAATCCCAAATAGAAAAATGGGGTAAAATAGCTTCTAGGCTGGCATAGTGATATTTTCAATGTTCTTATAGTTAAGTTCCTGGAACTACCTGTAGCTGATAAAAGAAGCCAACCCAAATGAACTTTGGAAATACAAAGAAAGATGAAGTATTTGGCCACTAGGATTAGAATGGTAATAATAGAAATAATACTTATTGTTTTATTTTTATTTTAGTAGAATTTATTCAGCATCTACTATAGTCCAAGTACTTTATCATTCACTCAGAATAACGTTACAAGACAATTATTATCCCATATAAGAAATGTAACAGGTAATATATACATAAGTTATTATCAATATGCAAGTTCATAGATAATTTAGCCTAAATACTATACCTAGAAAATAAAAGGACTTGGAATTGTGTCTAGACTTTTTTTTTTACTCCCAAATTTGAGTCTTACTGCATCACCAGAATTGGCCTGTATGAATTAAAACATAATAAATAAGCTATCTTTCTTCATTTGTCAGATCCTATGAGAATGTTATTCTAGTCATCATGCTTAGGGAGGGGGGAAAATAAACCAGAAAACGTCTAAAATGTTGTGGGGCAAGTGTGGGGCAAGAAAACACACCAAGTCCCACTTTTGTCCAAATTAAAGAGTATTTATTTCGACTGGCCAGGACTGCTTCCTACAGGACCAAGTTGTCTCTGCAGAAAACAGTCTGGGGCATCAACATTTTAGGGTATTTAAAGGCAAAAACCACATCAGGGTTGGCATACCTGAAAGCAAGCAGTACAGAAGCAGAATCGTGCAGTTAGCGAAACAATGCAATGGATACATTGGCATTTCCCACGGGACTTTCCGGATTGGCATAGCAGCAAACATGCAGAATGGAAGTAGGTCAAGATGACCCTAGTTGAGGACAAATTAGAGAATGGTTACTAATGTGTAGACAACCAATCTCTGACAGGGTACATTATCCAAGAAAAATGGGAACCAAAGAGAGAACACTTTTACATTGTATAAAAATTGCCATTTTGTGTTGCCAAGTATGCTATGGTAGGTAACTATTAGTGGGTACAAAGATGGGGTTTTCCCATGGGAGAAGTATTCCTGACATGATATGAAGTCTCAGGGTAAAATGGAGTCTGTTTGGTCATTGCCCATATAGCCTGGCCAATAACACAGAGTACAGCTAAGCCATGGGTAGTAAGGGTAAAATAATACCTTATGAAGTGTTTTGGAGGAGAGTTTGCTAAACTCAGAGAATACTAGCCTAACATCAGGTAGTTTTATGAAAGATCATTGCCAGGAGGATTCTATGTCCATGGAAAATTGAGTGAGTAAAGGGTAAATTCAAAGAAAAGAAATTTTAAGGGAATGAGCAGTGTTTACAAATGTTCTCACTGGTAAGTGCCTCGAAGTTGATTACATTGCTGACAGTAGGAAATTCAAATAAAGATCTGATCTCTATGGGAAATACCAGAGATGACAAGACAGTATGTAAAAACAAACAAACAAAAAATTCTTCCTTTTATTTTATCCATATCCCTGCAATTTGACAGTGCAGATCCTTCCACACAGACATGGAGTCTATGTCCTTACATTTGAACCTGGACTATCTACACAGTTGTGTAGGCCGAGGGAACACTAGCATATGACTCAGATGAAAAGCATCTGTGAATTGGAAGAGAACCAGGAGTCTGCTGACTGTCCGACACATGACCGAGGATATCCTAATTCATCCAACTCTGGACACTCCATCAGTTGACCACTCAAGTGTGAGAGAAGTTGGTAGAGATGAGCCGGGTTTGAACAGGACTAGAATAACCAACTGTATGGCTCATAGAAGTGTCAATGAAGTAACAATAGTAGTTGTTGGAAGCCACTAGGTTTGGGGTAGACTTTTACCCAGGGAAAGCTACTAAAATCAGGTGAAAAAAAGAAAAACAGTGATAGGCTACAAGGATGCTATGTGTGTTCCCCAAATTGGCTAATTAGATCTATAGCCTATGAGACTTGGTCCTCCACCTGCATGAATATAGAAAATGAGAAATTTATTCTACTTGCCATTTAGTTGGGAACTAAGATGTCTTTATAGGTCATCTAGTCTGATCTGGTCTAGAGAAACATGAGAAAGCTGAGATCAGCATAGGGGGAATATGACTTTTCCATGGTGACATGTGTTTCTGATCAAACCAAGACTACTAGTGAATTCCTCGGATCCACAGTCCTGGGCAGCTTACTTTCTAACTTTCTTGGGATCTTGCCCAGTCCTGAGATTCTATGACTCTGTGACTCTATGATTCTATAATTCCAAATCCAAGTAAACAATGCCAGCTCTCCAGACAGGCCTGGAACAGGAAAAGAACATGGTCTAGACTGAAAGACCAACTAAAATATTTTTTTTCATTTGAAAACACCAACAGTACCATCATGAACTCAAGGGATACACACAGTCCTGTGTTTCTGGTATTTCCTCCAGAGATCAACCAACCAGAATATCATGAAAATGTCCTCTCAGCTACCACCTATGCATCTCAAAACCTCTTGCAGAAATTACTTACTTCAAAACTGAAGATCTTAGGGGTAAGACTTGCCTCTCTGTGTGTATTCTACTAAAGGGGCAGAGGGAAAGAATAGAAATATCTGGTGGCACATGTTTTAAGGTAGGAGTCAATTCCAAATTTTATTTCCACTCAATTCAGAGAGTATGAATTACATTTCTATAGCAATACGCATGAGATTCTGCAAAGAGGAGAACACAAGATGAATAAGTCAAGGTCCCTAGGCTCTTGAAATGCACATTCTGCATACTGACCAACTATTAAATTTTTCTAGTTGATTTCTGAGAGAAGAAATGGGAAAGAAAATCAACAAAAAGTCAACAGGACAGAGTCTATGTCTTGGATTATTGCAATTTTCCCAGTTTTATATTTTTTTCCAATCAAAAATCAGAATTCAAAGCCTGGCATGAAAATTACATGTATATTTGAATACAGCTGTTGCAGAATATCCTCTTAATACTATTAATACTCATCTCTCCATTCACCTAACTAACCCATGCCATAAATATTAATTTTCTTTCTTTTTTTAACCAATCCTTCTTTAGGACAATGTGAGGATTCAGTTATGTTTGAGATTATAATTTGTCCATATCTGAAAACATTTGTCCTCTCAGGCCTCATCCTCCAAGAATAAAAAAAAAAAGAAATTAATTTTTCAGAAAAAATATAATAGAAAAGTAGAAAAAGATGGTCAAGTAAAATGAAGAAGAGAACCATCAATGTAAACTGCTTTAGGATCTATTCAATTATAATGAAGTCCAAAATTGTGCTAAACAATTCAAATTACTTTTCAATGGAGCATCTAATAGGAGCTATAAATGGTGGTAGTGATGGCGAGTCAGATAGAGAATAGTTACTTCCAACCAAAAGGACAAGACAATTTTATGGCCATTTTGGCATTTAACATGAACTCTAAAGAAGTAATGGAATTTCAACAAGTGGAAATAAAAAGAGAGGAAGGACGCAGGACAGTCTAAATGGGAAACACATCCTAAACAAATGCATATGGTAGCAGGTTAGGAATGGCAAAAGAGAGCTGGGAGAGGTCAATCAAGGCTTCAAAGGCTCAAGAAGATTAAAAAATAGGAAACAACCAGGATGGACAAATAAAAACCACAGGATATCCACACCATGCAAGAGTATTCATTGGTAAAAGAAATGAGCTGTCCACCCAAGAAGAGATGCAGGGAAACTGTAAACATTAGGGTTCAGTGAAGGAGGACAGTTTATAAAAGCTACCTATTGTATGATTCCAACTATAAGGCATTCTGAAAAAGACAAAACTATGAGATAATGAAAAGATCAGTCAGTGCCAGCCAGAGGTTCTAGGGGAGACAGAAAGGGATGAATAGGGTAGCTCAGAGGATTTTAAGGTCAAGAAAATGATTGTGTATAAAATTGTAACACTATAATGGCAGACTTTTGCCAGAACTCACAGAATGTGCAACACAAAATGAAGTCTAATGTGATCTCTATGGACTATAGTTGATGAGGTGTCCATGTTGGTTCATCAGCTGTGTCAGATGTCCCACCATCATGTGAGATGGTGGTGGTGGGAAATGCCGGGATGAAGGGGAAGAGGCAGGAAGAGGAAGGGGAAGAGATGTAGGAAACCTCTTAAGTTTCTAATCAATTTTACTGGAACCTAAAACTTTTCTAAAAAATAAAGTCTATTGATTTAAATGAAATGCTAAATATGGTAAATGTTGTGTATATTTTGCCACAATAAAAAGCATGAGATAATATATTTGTGTATTTTGGTACCAGGGATTGACCTCAGGGGCACTTACCACTGAGCCACATCCCCAGCTCTTTATTTCTTATTTTATTTGGAGACAATTGCTGAATTGCTTAGGGCCTTGCTAAGTTGGCGAGGCTGGCTTTGAACTCACCATCTTCCTGCCTCAGCCTCACAACCTACTGGGATAACAGGCATGAGCCACTGTGCTGGACATGAAATAATACTTAAAAAAATAAAAAAAAATAATAAAAAGCAAAAGCAACCATGAAGGTACTTTGAAGACCCAATATTCAATAATTATATGTTCCCTCTTTATGAGATTTGATAATATAGACAATTAGTTTCCAACCTATAAAATTACTGAAACTACTAAAAGTGCTTCTTTTATAAAGTATATAACAAGTTCCTGTGCCTCATTGTGGAACCATTGACCCACATTTTTGAAGAGGAAGAATACTAGAAATCTGTTATCTTTAAAACATTTCTCTGAGTGAATCTAATGCCCACAGGATTCAGGAGTTAACTATTCAAACAATTCTGAAGAGTAATATAATTTGGAGTTGTTTTGGAATTTTATTTTAGCACTGACTCAACACGTGGAAAAAGAAGATGGGTGCAGGAAAGCCTGTTAGAAAATCTTAATAATTGAGATGAATGAGTGGTGGCTATTGAGGTGAATGAACTTCCCAGATTCCTATAATAAGAGCAGTATTTGCCTCTATAATACTTACGGTCTTAAGAAGTCAGAATGTGTCCTCCTAAAAGAGCTCACTCCCAAAAATGGAATAAAAGGGCTGGGGTTCTCTTTACCCAGTATTTTTTTAAACTTACCAAAGCTTCTGCAGAGCAAAGAAAATGATTAAGAGTGTGAAGAGAGAGCCTACAGAATGGGAGAAAATCTTGGCCAGCTACTCCTCTAATAGAGGATTAATATGGGCAGAATATATAAAGAACTCAAAAAACTTAACACCAAAAAACAAACCAAATAACCCAATCAATAACTGGGCAAAAGAACTAAACTTTTTGAGAAACTTCTCAAAAGAAGAAACACAAATGGCTAACAAATTTTAAAAAAAAGAAAAAGAAGAAAAAGAAAGAAAAGAAAATTCAACATCTCTATCACCAGGGAAATGCAAATAAAAAATGCACTAAAATTTCATCTTTCTCCAGTCAGAATGTCAGGATCAAGAATAAAAACAATAATAAGTGCTGGCAGTATTGTGGGGGAAAAGGTACACTTTTACATTGTTTTTAGGGCTGCAGATTACTGTGACCACTCTGGAAAGGAGGATGAAGATTTCTCAAAACCTAGGGATGGAACTACCATGGTGACTCAGCTACCCCACTCCTTCATATCTTTCCAAAAGATCTGAAAGTGGCATACTATGGTGACACAGCCACCTCAATGTTTATAACAGCACAATTTACAATAGCTAAATTATGGAATCAACCCAGGTACTTGTCGATAAATGAATGAATTAAGAAACTGTGGTATACATATACAATGGAGTTCTAGTCAGCCATAACAAAGAATGAAATTATGCCACTTACCAGTAAATGGAAGAAAGTGGAGAATATCATGCTAAAGGAAAATTAGCCAAACTCAGAAATTCAAAGGTTGCATGTTTTCTCTGATATGCAGAAGCTAGAGTAAAATAAAGGAAAGAGGAAGGGAGATGACATAAAGATGAAGGGCAGATCAGTAATGTAGAAGGAGATGGAGAAGCAGAGTGGAGGGATGGGAAAGGGGAGGCAATGAAGAAAGAATTCTTTAAAAATCTTAATATGTGCACATATAAGTATACCACAGGGAATTTCACCTTTATGCATAAGTAAAAAGAACCAAATATAAATTAATAGATGAGTGAAAAGAAATCTAGTCTAGTAGAGGAAAAGGAACAAGGAAGGGGAGAGAGAAGGGGGAGGGAAATGGAGACATCATGAACTGAAGTCTAATTCCATTCATGGACGAGTTTGTCAGGATGAACCCAACTACTGCGTATGGCTATAAAGCTATGATTTTAAAAAGTGTGGGTCCAGGCTTCATGAAAATGTTCTCACTTAGGGCTCTACTAAAAGTGATAGTTGCTATGGCAGCAAGTGAGATCACTCAGACTGAGAAGGTGGACTGAAAGTAAAAGAGGGCAGAGGACACAGACTCCTGTTCTTTATGCCATAGTTTCTGTTCTTTATGTCACTTTCGCGGTCTTCCCTACCACTTGTCAAGCTGCTGCTTGGTGTTGCATTGCATCACAAGTGTGGCACAGGAGGGAAAACAAAACAAAATACAGAGTCCAAGAGAGCTGTAGGCCTGGGAGGGGGACAGTACGTCATCAGGCTGAGCATGGGTCATAGGCAGGGATTTTCTGACAGTCCACTTCTCCCTGAAACAGGCTGGTGCTGCAGTTTAGAATGAGTGCTCCTCCAACATTCACTCATATGTGATAAGGAGTCGGACAGCTTATGAAGACACAGGTTTCTTGGTTTCCTCCTGGGGATTCTGATAAGTACAGGATAAGACTGACACTTTGCATTTCTGGCTCACAAAAGATGCTGAGGTTGCCATCCATAGGTCACATTTTCAGGAACATTGACTTAGATCATTTTCCTAATTGCCAAATATCACAGAAGAATTAAGCACATACCTGTGAGCATCATAAAGGGACTTTGACTATTCTTTTATTTTTTCATAAGAGAAGGTAAATTGCCAAATCTTTTTTTTTTTAATTTTTTTTATTGGTTGTTCAAAACATTATAAAGCTCTTGACATATCATATTTCATACATTAGATTCAAGTTGGTTATGAACTCCCAATTTTACCCCAAATACAGATTGCAGAATCACATCAGTTACACATCCACATTTTTACATAATGCCCTATTAGTAACTGTTGTATTCTGCTACCTTTCCTATCCTCTACCATCCCCCCTCCCTCCCCTCCCATCTTCTCTCTCTACCCCATCCACTGTAATTCATATCTCTCCTTGTTTATTTTCCCATTCCCCTCACAACCTCTTATATGTAATTTTGTATAACAATGAGGGTCTCCCTCCATTACCATGCAATTTCCCTTTTCTCTCCCTTTCCATCCCACCTCATGTATCTGTTTAATGTTAATCTTTTCTTCCTGCTCTTCCTCCCTGCTCTGTTCTTAGTTGCTCTCATTATATCAAAGAAGACATTTGGTATTTGTTTTTTAGGGATTGGCTAGCTTCACTAAGCATAATCTGCTCTAGTGCCATCCATTTCCCTGCAAATTCTATGATTTTGTCATTTTTTAGTGCTGCGTAATACTCCATGGTGTATAAATGCCACATTTTTTTTATCCATTCATCTATTGAAGGGCCTCTGGGTTGGTTCCACAGTCTAGCAATTGTGAATTGTGCTGCTATGAACATCGATGTAGCAGTATCCCTGTAGTACGCTCTTTTAAGGTCTTCAGGGAAAAGTCCAAGAAGTTGCCAAATCTTTTTAATCAAAGGAAGATGTAAGTAGAAGGGAAACCCATCACTTTGGTTTTTTTTCTCACTATGATTTTTCCCTCATTTACAGGCTACTCAGATCCTGATTGGAATCATAAACTTTTCTTTTGGAATTATTTTTCTTTTCACCTTGGTACCTCCTTACCCAAGGTTTCCTTTTATACTTCTTTCAGGATACCCGTTTTGGGGCTCTGCTTTGGTGAGTATAATCAATCAAGTTCAATTTGAAGCCATGACACCCAGGATGGCAGGGAATTCCTAGTTATGAAATAAAATACATTCAGGAGTATAGTGAGCTTTGAAAAATATGACCAAGAAAAAAAATAGCCTTTATGAAATTACTTCCCCATTAAATTACCAGAATTACTGTTTTCCCAGCTTGAAGTCTTGAAATTCCTCTGGGAAAATTTCTTTGGGCCTTGTAGTTGTTTATTTGTTCATTAATTTATTCAAAATTTGTTGCTAATATAATGTAGATCCATAGAGCAAGACAAGGATTCAAAGGTTAGTACAATGAGAGTCCTTCAAAGGGCTCCCAGTCCAGGCCAGGGAGAAAACTTGACCACCGATCATATGAAAGTAGTATGAATATATGATCTCACGCAGGTATAGGAAGTACTCGGGTAAGCAGAGGCAGAGGAACAACTTCCTCCTTAGATAAATGGAGAGGCAGAGAGGGGAGCACGGAGGATCTATTTAACCACATTCAATAAACGTTACTTTAGCATCTAATTAGCACCAGAGAATGGGTGGAGTCTAGGGGTTGCTCATACAGGCAGTCCCCAATCTCAAGGTCCCAGGTGAGTGGAGAGTCAGACAAATTACCATGGAGTGATGAGCGAAGACAGAGGTCATAGGAAAAGCATCTAAAAAGCATAAGGGACATTGTCCAGAGCCACTTCCAGTCTGAGTTTTAAAGGATGATGAAGGTATATCCAGGGCTTCGGGAGCAAGGGACAGGAGTGTCTTGTTGCATGCCAAGGGGGAAATAAATGCAAAAGGCTGGAGGTGTGGGGAGCATTGTGTATTCTATGAACTGCAAGAGTTTAAGCACAGAGGGTGAGAGTGCAGGGAGGGGGGTGGAGAAATGCCAGCAAGGAGACTAGAAACTTAAACATGGGTGGGCTGTGATGGGATTGGAAGTTTCCACTGGACAATAATGCTACCATATTTGGCTCACCTTCATGAAAATTCTTGGGATTTTTTTTTTTTGTTCAGAATTAACAGCATATTAGCTACCAACCCCAGATTAGGTTATAAGAAAGATGGAATCGGATCTTATTGGTGATAAGTTGATGTGACACCTAGTGTGTCATGACAGCAAAGCTGAGTCCACAATAGCCGTAAAAGGAAGATGAGTGAGAAAGCTTAATGTCCCGTAAGGTTAAAAGAAAATCTCATGCTCAAATAAGTAGCGAAGCCTGGAGCCAATGTCCAGTGCAGTGTTTTTGTCCTTTGTCCTGTGTGGACAGTCATCCAGACAGCTTCCCCTTCTCAGGCCTGGGAAGACCATGTGAACTCAGGAGGAGGATGCAAAGGGAATGTGTGGACACCCATCCCGTGAGGACTCTCCAGTGTCAGCTAACCATGGCCCTCATTAAGATATTTATTCTCTCCCACAGTTCATTACGTCTGGAGCCTTTCTCATTGCGTTAAAAAGGATAACCACCGAATCCATGGTGAGTGATGTTTCCATTTGACTAAAAACTAACAACTTTGAAATTATTCATCCTAGCGAATAATTTTGAAAATCCCTAGGTGACCACAATTCCACAAACGGTCAAGTACTCATACCACAAAATGGCATTTGCTTCCTTCTTTCATGGAATCGTAGGCTCGGAGTGCCAGAATAGTGTTTTCTGGGTCACAAAGCCGAATTCTTATTCTAAATGTGAAGACGCTGAGGCACAGAAATGTTAAGCAACTGGTTCAATTTCCTCAGCCGCTTAATGGTAGAATGCATCTCCATATTCCTGCTAGTCCATCACTCAGTCTTTCTGGATATTTAATGCCTACTGCATACCAGACACTCTGACAGACACTTATTTGACCCACAGGAAAGACATACTGTAGAAAACCTAATTAAGTCAGAAGTAGAATCTAGAAATCAAAAGTGTTGCTAAAGAATGTGAAATTATAACTTATAGATTCATTATATCTAGAATAGGTCTACCCAAAGATTCAGAGATATTAGATATTAATTATAAACCAATAAATGATATTTCTGAACCACTTATTGACTTATTAATAGGAGTAAATGTAAATATATAAAAATAATACCTCCTATAAGTTTGTGGCTTGAAACAAAAATTGCAGAGAAATGCAATGTTCAGTTTGACACAAGAGTCTTGAAGTGAAAATGCTAATGGACCCTGAGGTCTAAATGCAGTGGAACACAGCGACCCCACATAGCCCTGTGTCCCAAGTGCACCCCTCCCCATTCAAATGGAAATCATCGTGGGTGCAGAATGTGAGGAGGAGGAATGTATTAAAAGTTCACTGGATCCTCTTATTCTGTGGATGAGGGCTGAATCCCAAAGAAATGAAGCTAGCTTGTGACACTGTGACACTGACTAGAATCTTGCTCTCCAGCCACCCTCTCATTGCTTTGACTATAGCACAGGACGGGCCTAAGTCATTGTGTTATGCTCTGATTCTATTTCAGGCGAAAGTGAGCCGGGTAATGAATTTTCTTAGCGCCGTGGCAGCAGCAGCTGGAATCATTCTCCTCACATTTGGTTTCCTTCTAGATCGAAACTACATTTGTGGCTATTCTCCAGAAGGCATTCGGTGCGGTGAAATTACTGCCCTCTTGGTTGTAAGTATGCTTCAATTTTAGAGTAAAAAAAGATTTCTTAGCACCTAGTTAGCACCATCCAGATAATACTGTGGATACACATGTCTTGTCTTTTACTCATAAACATTCAGGAAATCCATAATATTTGATAAGACATTCTATGACGCATTATGGAACAGAACAATGAATACATCACAACACCCACCTTTAGGAATTCACACAGGTGGAAAAGAGGTAAAACATCTAGACAAGTGAGCGATGTACTAAAAGTGATATACTAAAAGAAAAATACAGGCACAGCAGTTTGGTTTCTGTTCATAGTCCTAGAAGTACATTAGAATTTTAAGCCAAATGTTCTTCTAGTTTTTGATTTGGCTTTAGTAACTTAGGCTTCTGATAGAGCATGGTAGATTGAAAATGGGCACTTATTTCTGCTCTTCCCAAAATACTACTAAAGTTAGTGTAAAAGCATGTAAAAGGTGTGAATCCACCTGAAGAGAAAAAGGTAGTCAACATATCAAAAAATGGTGAAGAGGGACAGAGATGTAGGTCCATGATGGAGTGAAGCATTTAGCATATATGGGGCACTGGAATCAACTCATGGTACCCCCCAAAAAACTGCTGAAGACACTAAAAGCTACTTGAGGGAAGTCCTAAGAGAAGTTAGATATTTCACATAGCAGAGTCTAAGAATACTGAGCTGGTGGATGCACTTCAACCACAGACATCAGGGCAGAGAACAGAAAATAGAGAGATTGGTTCAGGTAATGGTGGATTGGGCTGTTAGTATCAACAAAAATGCTAACATCAAAAAGCAACCAAACAAAAACCATCTTAAAGGTATTAAAAAACCAAAAGTCAGCTGGAACCACAGGGCGAGTTCTGTAGCCATGGTATGTTAAAGAGCACCAAAGCTGCCATGTCTTCCCGCTGGTTTGTCAACACTGCCCATCTGGAATCTGATTCCCAGCACAAGCAGAGGGAAAGAGAAAGAAGTCAAGGCCCAAAGTCCACACGAGGTAGAAATACCTGGAAGAGACCTTCTCCACGTTGAACTAAGCCCTTGATGGAATTCTATACTCTTCTTCAATCAAGGATAAAAAGACATAACAAAGTCCCCTGTCCCATAACGGCAGAGAAATCTTAACTGCATAATGTACATAAGGAAATTTTAGCCATAGATTAAATGCCCTGTCAGCCTCTATCCACTCCCACTCCAGCTGGGATTTTAACTTCGGGTAGGGCATCAAGGGGGCAAGGCAAGAATTACAGACAGAGGAGAGAAAGAGGAAATAATGACGGAATATTTTTGGAACCAATAAAAAATAAAATGATTAACCCACAAGTCCTAGAAGCCTAGTGAATTCTGGACACCTGGACACGTAATGATAATGTAAACAACAAGGACAGAAAATTTCAAAGCAACAAGTAAAGAAGGCCAGTTATTTTCAAAAGATAGGTGATTTTTTTTTTTTTATCTTGGAGAAGATAGTAACTAGAAGGAAAAGTAAGGGAGCTGGAGTCTCCAGAGTGTTGTTTCATCTTTACGTGCCAAACAAACTAAGCCCAAACTATTCTGGCGTTTGCTAATTCAGACCCACGTAATGCTTCACAGACTTCTATACCAAGGGAATGACCTGGATGCTTAAGTTTAAAAAGCTCACCTTCACCTAATGTTGAAGCACTCAACATCTTACCATCTTTTAAAACTGAAATATGTAGATCTTAAAGAATTTTCCTAAAATGAACATATTTGTATACCAAGTTACTATTTTCTCTCTTTCTATACTGAAATCACTATGTCCAAACACCAATAAGAGTAGGGGGTTAAGTACCACGTCCTTGAGAGCAGAGGGTCTACATTTATTGTTTGAAATCTTTCTAAATGACAGATTTGCCTATTTCTCTCCCATTTATTTATGTATTCACTCAATTGTGTATTTATATCATTATGGACTTGTATGAGTGTTTATTTAATACTTTGAGTTATAATTTAATATTGTGCAAATTAAGAAAATTTCAGCCACTGAGAACTCTTTGGATCCTGTGATCCTTGTACATTCCCCTGTTTTGTGAAAGGATTTATTTATTCTAACATTTCCATAGTTTCAGGCACTACAAGATTCTCTAGGTTCTTCTTGTATATTCCCTGCACAAGGCCTTAGAAGCACTCATTCATCCAGAGGAGCCCACATTCCTTCTGTCAATAAATGGTACTAGAAGCCAAGATCAGGTACTAGATGTGCTTGTTTTACCGAAATACTATTGTTTTGTAGACTCTCTCAGCTGACAGATAAGAAATACCTCTGCATTAACCCAACTTATTCACATATCTATAAATATTTCTTAATGTGCTCAGAACTATCTATATTGAGCTGGACATGAGTTCATAATGATGCATTACCATGTGGATCATTTTAGCCTCCCCTACTGGTTATTTGGAAACTACCTCCCAGTAGTGGGAAACCTGTCTCCCACCATCCTCCAGCCGTGCACTTATTTTTCCGATTATGTTCTGTACATGCAGAGTGGTGTCAGAATTGTTGACTGGAATCTCCATGCTGGACGCAGTGCCGTGCTGATAAGCAGCACCTTTACATTCATGCTAATGGACTTCTTCAGCTTCCCACACAACTCTGCTAAACACCTTTTTCTCCCTCACCCCTTCAGTGAGCTTATTTCATCTGCTTGTCATACAATTAAATGACTTTGCCACAGTCTACATTCTAGAGTCACCAATCTACATTCTAGAATCACCCAATCACCTAAAATATACCATTTTTTAAACTTGCATACATTAAAGTTCAATCTTTTCAACAAGTTATTAATCTTCATGGAATCAACTCATTTGGTTTTTTCTTGCTTATGCTGTTTTGTGTTGTATCTAAGACATCATTGCCTGACCAAAGATGTACTCTTATACCATCTTCTAAGGTTTTTATTGGTTTAGGTCTTCCATTTGTCCTTTGAGTTGGTGTGTGTGTGTGTGTGTGTGTGTGTGTGTGTGTGTGTGTGTGGTGTGAGGAAAGGGATCGATTTCATTCTTCTGTATGTCATCTAAGCACCATTTGCTAAAAAAACTTGTTTAACCTATTCTATTCCAAGCCACATTGATGAATATCAATGGAGCATGACTGTAAGGGCTGATGTCTGGGCTCTAAATTCCATTCTATCACTATAGCCTACCCTGCGTTGGAACCACAGAGCCTCTATCCCCATAGCTTTGCAATAAGTTCTGAAAACACAGAGTGCAAGTCCTACAACTTCATTCTTCCTTCTCAGGATTATTTTTGACTATTGTGGGTCCCTAAATTTTTATATGAGTTTTAGGCTCATCCTGTCAATTTCTGTCAAAAGAAAATTTCAGATGACATTTTTTTTAAGAGGTTGTGTTGAATTTTTAGACAATTTTGTGGGTTATTAGCATCTTAGCATAACAAGTTGCTGTACTTCATAAATCATGAATCTGGGATATCTCTTTATTTCATTTAGTTTTAAAATATGTTTCACCAATGTTTTATATTTTCAGTATACAAGCCTTGCAGTTCTTTTGGTAAATTCATTCCCAAGTATTTTATTCTTTTTGATGTTATTATAGCTGGAGTTGTTTTCTTCATTTTGTCTTCTGAATATTCATTGCTAAGGTGTAGAAGCACAGTTGATTTTTTTGTATTGATACTGCATCCTGAAATCTTGCTCTCCTTTATAAGTCCTAAGAGTTCTTTTTAGAAGATTCTTTCGAATTTTCTATACACAAGAGCATGTAATCTAGAAATAGCTGGACCTATTCCTTTCCAAACTGGATGGTTTTACCTGCTTTTTCTATCTTTATTCTCTGGTTAGAATACCTAGCTCAACCCAGAATCAAAGCTGTAAAAGCAGGCATATTTGTCTTATTACTGAATTTAGGGGGAAGCATACAGTCTCTCACCACCAAGTATGATATCAGCTGAGGGTTTCTGTAGGTGGACTTTACCGAGTTGAGGAAGTTCTCTTCTATTTCCAGTTTGTTGCATATTTTTACCATAATTTTTTAATTTACTCAAATGCTTTTTCTTCATCTTTTAGTAGGGCATATTACATGAATTGGTTTTTTTCCCCCTGACTTAAATAAACCTTGTATCCCTAAGATAAACCCCATCCTGGTTTAGTGCACAATCCTTTGTTGTTATATTGTGAGATTCAGTTTGCTGACACTTTGTTAAAGATTTTTGCATCTATATTCACAAGGAATATTGACACATAGTTTTTTTTTTGTGGTGTCTTTGTGGTTTTGCTTGTGGTTAATACTGGCTTTATAGACTAGTTGTAAAGTATTCCTTTCTCATGTTTTTTTGGGAGGCTTTGTAAAGAAAATGGTATCAGATTGCCTAGAAACATCTCGTAAAATTCAAGATAAGCCTGGACTTATCTTTGTGAAAAGTTTTTAATTCCTTGATGTATATATGAATTCAAATTTTCTATTTCATCTTGAGTCAGTTTCTAAGAGTGTGTCCCTTATTATCCAAATAAGTGAATGAAAGACTATGACAATATTGACTGTTCAGAAAGACTGTCATGAAGGTTCCATGTTAGTAGAGCAGAAAAGGTATAAAATAGCCAAGAGACTAAACACATCACAACCAATGGCAACTGACCTTTTCAGAGGAGGCACTTTTGTTCCAATAGTTTTAAATGGAAGCATTGTAGCTGCTAATTCTGAGGAGCCAGAGCCATTTACCCCACTGTCCCACCTTCTGAAATATCTGCTTCTAGAGTTTCTTGAGGACCTCAGCTTGAAGTCTGTAAGAGATGTGGTGGTGGTGGTAGTGATGGTGGTGTTTTTGTAAGTAGGATCTCATCTATGAAGGCTCAGTGCAGTCTTCCTCTGATGCAAAATAGCCAATTTTTTGCCTAACATCACCAAGTTTTATTAGATTAGATGACAGGCAAAGGAAGATGGTTCATACCAATTAGCAGAAAACACTGACAAATTTCTTATGTTAATCAGTGTTAACAGAACAGGGTAGAGTCTAATCATGCATTGAGATATGATATAATGCAGAATTTCTATGGATTTAGTCAAGGATTAACAAGGAAATAGGAAGATACTAAATATTGTGAGGATCTTGAAAAATTGTCCCATGCCTGCTGACGGAGAAATCAGCAGCTCCTCAGAGGTGGAATGTGGGAAAAAGAGTCTTTCCTAAAGTCAATTTCTTAAACACAGAGAAGACTGAGGAAAGTTTCTGTAAGGTTTTAATGCATAGCCTCATTATTTCTTCTAGAAAGAATATTGGTTTGGGAGGCATTTTACTTATTGGTCCTTGTGCCTGGCTAAGAAAACAGCATCATAAAATCGACACCTGACTCCTGCCCCAGGAACTTATTCTTTCAGATACACAAAGGCATAGACAGAAAGGATGGGTAGAGGCAATGCTTTAGCAGACCTTCATGAGTCAAAACGAAACAAGAACAACTCTGAGAAGACAGTGAAGAACTTCCGGGAGATGTGATTCCTGGGGGCGGGAGGCAGGGGGGACAAACCCTGAATGACAGAAAGTGCTGAACTTGCCCCATCAGCATAGATATGCAAGTCCCAACAGGGAAACTCAAGGGCCTTCGGTAGAACAGGTGCTAAATGAGCTCCAGGAGTAGGACCCTAATGGTGGGGGGTCTTGGCTAGACCTCCCTGAGGCCTCCACAACCACCAAGCACCCACTCAGAGACTACCAGGGAAATCTACAGCAGTTCAATGCTGGGTTTATTAAATATGCAGAAGAAGACAAGAACCTAGGATCTTGGGCGCAACAGGGGAAAGTAGAGTGGGTACTTGCAGGGTTTCATCAACTGAATTTATTCATAAAGAAGTTTTCAGGAAGAGTAACACTAGACCTGGTTAAAAACTGGTTAGAATTTATAAACTAGGGAGTATACAAGGCCAGTCGATGGTGTTATTCTTGGAAAACATGAATTGACATGGAAAAACTGTTGCCTTATCTTTACCATAAAACTCTAAAAAGCCTTCAAATAAAACCTGGAACTGATACCTGGTTATACACATCATGCTTTGGTGCATTTTGTAAATTTGCTGGTTCATAGTATAGTTGTTTTTAAATTCATGCTTTCTGTTCAGTTCTCAGTGATCTTAAGCAAAACTAAAAAAATTAAGAGACAATGGAAATTACAAAGTGGAAAAAGAAGACACAGCTAGATTGTCAAGTGACTCCTATGTCAGCTGACTTCTAACAAGTGACAACAGGGGTCAGGAGACAGCAGAATGACATCAGTGTGCTGAGAAAAACAACCTTCAACCACTCACCCATTGTTGTCCATTCTTGTAAGAATGTAGTTGAGAAAAAGAGATAAAGGATCTCAGAGGTAGAAAAAAATTGAATCGACCTCCTGAAGACCTATTTGGGCATAAAAGGAATAATAAGGAATAAACTCTCGGGCTGAGGATATCGCTCAGTTGGGAGAGGGCTTGCCTGGGTTCAATCCCAACACCACACACACACAAAAGAATGAACTCCAAATAGGAAAAAATAAAAACCAGCACAAGATGCAAGAAAGAACTAAGATCAAGAAATGCCATGAATATGTGAACAAATGTAACTGGATATTGCTTATAGAAAGTAGTAATAATTCCAAGTACTAAGATTAAACTATAAGGACATGTTTAAAATACCAGAAAATACTAATATATGAGTAAGGGGCAAATGGCATTTCTTCTATTTATATTTGCTAAAGGTAAACATAATAGTGTTATCTGAGCGGAGAATAAAGATTTTATAAACTTTACACTTTGGTAAGCTAAGTATGTTTTAAAGTATACAGTATCATCAAAAGTAAGAACCTCGATGAGCACATTGGCACACACCTGTAATCCCAGCGTCTGGGGAAGCGGAGGCAGGAGGATTGCAAGTTCAAGGCCAGCCTCAGCAACTTAGTGAGGTCCTATGAAACTTAGTGAGAACTTAGCATTTCTTAAAAAGGGGTAGGTAGGGGCTGGGGATATAGCTCAGTGGTAAGGAAGCACCCAGTACCAAAACAAACAAACAAAAAACAAGACAAAAAAAATAAACGTAGACCTAATATACTTAGAATACTATACTCAACATAATGCACATTTTTGTAGAACATACAAGAAAAGGAAAATAAGCACACATTAAAAAATAAAATCATTCTAGATTAACACCGAAGTTGAAGCCAAATAGTATATGTTCTATGCAATAAAACTTGAGCAATAATAATAACCTCAAAACCCCTATGTGACTATGTATTAAGATGCTTCCAAATGATGTGGGAGCCAGGGAAGAAATCATAATGGAAATATGACAATGCTGTAAAGGGAAAGATCAAAAAACTTGTGGGCAAGAGATAAGCACAACTATTGAGGCAATTCACAGTACCTTGAAAGGTAGGTACTATAAAATAGGAAACGTGTAAAAATTTATTGCCCAACCATTGAGAATTAGAAAAAAGACAGAAAATTACTCCCCCTCCACCCCACCCCTCAAAAGCAAGAGCATACATTAGAGAAAAAGAGAGAAAAGAAATCATGCACATACTAGTAAAGATCAAAATAGTCAACAATGTTTTTTGGAAAATGCTAAAAATACGTAATTTATTTTCTTTTTTCCACTTCTGGTTATTATAGAGTAGAATCAGGACACCTCTCTTAGGAGAGGTGTTTTTTTGTTCGTTTGTTTTGGGTTTTGTTTGTTTGTTTGTTTTGTTTTGGTACTAGGGATGGAATCCTGAGATACTTTACCACCAAACCACATCCCCAGCCTTTTTTTCATTTTTTTTTTTAATTTTGAGACAGGGTCTTGCTAAATTTCTTAGGGTCTCGCTAAATGGCTGAGGCTGGCCTCAAACTTTAGATCCTCTTATCTCAGCCTTGCTAGAATCACTGGGATTACAGGCACAACCACTTTAAAACTGATTAACATATTAAAAACACCTGGCTGTTGGAATGCAGACCAGGAAACCACAGTGACTAGGATCTGAGGAGCAAGGATCATGTCAAGAATTGTCCACACAAAGCCAGTGTTCTCTACCACTTTTCTCCTTGAGGTATTTGCTGACTCCTAAGATTTACAGGGTACCAAATCAGAAGCCAGGCTAATAGGAAGCTAGGAGACTGCAAGGCCGAGCAGAGACTCCAGCAGTTGGGCAGGGCTGGGGTACACAAGCATGTGTTCAAGGTCCACCAAGAAAGAGTAGGAAAGACTGGCAAATACCCCAGGATTTCATTTGTGCAAGAATAATACACCCTGAATCCAAGGATAAAGGAAAGAAGCCACTCTTCACAAAACTGAAATCAGACCACATAGGGAAAAACAATTAAATTCATAGAAAATGAAAAAGGATAAAGATAACAAAGATCAGATTAAAAACTAATGAAATATGAAACACGCTAGACAGAGGAATAAAACTAAAAGACTGATGTTTTGAAGAGATTAAAAAATTGATAAAACCTTGCTAATTAATCGAGAAAAAAGAGAAAACACAAACAATATCAGGAACTAACAAAGGTGCATCACTACAAACACAACATCCATTAACACACGAGGTCATCATGAACAATATTATAAAAATAATCTGACGCTGCAGACGAAATTCACAAATGCCTTATAAAAGCCCAACGACCCAAATTATGTCAAACCCACCTGTCACAGCAAAGGAGAAAAGAGACCATCTGATAATTCTTTAATAAAGATTCAAATCTGTAATTTAAAACTTTATCCCCCCCCCAAAAAAAAAAGAAAGAAAAAAAATCAATCCAGGAGCAGATTAGTTCCTTCACATATTTAGAAAAGGAGTAATGGTAACTTGAACAAGTACTTATATGGTGCTGTCACAATCTTTGACACTAAAATATGACAAGAACATTGCTAAGAATAAGACAATTATAGGAAGTTCTCTTTTATTAATCTTGTGTAGACATCTGAGATAAAAGATGAGGAACCAAATTGAGTGATACACATGAGAATTCATCACAGGCTACTCAGTTAAAACCAGAAGTACAGTTGATTTCACATTCAAAAATCTATCAGTAATAGACCTAAATGTGAAACAGAAAACTATAAAGCTTCTAGACAGGGAGAGAGGATTTAGGAGAACATTTTCATGACTGGGGGTACTCAGAGCATGAAAGAAACTAACCATAGAAGAATAAATAAATAAATAGGAATGCTTTTTTAAAAATTAAGTAACAGGAGCAAACAAACTAAAACTTCTTCATCAAAGTCATCATTAAGATAGTGGAAATCAAGGCACAGAGTGGAGGAAATTTTTCCCAATATGTGTATCTAACAAATGACCCATCTCAGGAATACACTCTTGAAAATTAGTAATCAACTGGTAAAAGTTAAAATGAGAAAGGCTTTCACAAGCCCATCAGAAAGAAGATAGACAGATGGCTAGTGAGCATGTGAAAATGTGTTTAATGCCATTAGTCCTCAGAGAAGCACAAATTAAAATCACAATGAGATACTACTGTGTACACATCAGAATGATCTTAATTAAAAATACTGGCAATACCAAGTGTCAGCAGGAATGTGAAGCAGCTGGAAGTCTTACATATTTTTGGTGGGGGGCAAAATGAGCAGTTCACCTTGGAAAACTATTTAGCAGTTTTTAACAAGGTAAAATACACCTATTTTATGTCTCATGCATGAGAATATTCACAGCAACTCTGTTCATCAAAGTGAAAACACGAGAAATTCAAATGTCCATCAACAGCAAACAAGCTCAACAAGTGGTGATTATTCAAATAACAGAGTATCTCTCAGCAAGAAAAAAGAATGACTTACTGATACATGGATCAACACGGATGAATTTC